AAAAAAACAAAATAAGAGATTTAATGTAGTATTTTTACACTGACCTTTTTAAGGACCAATATCTTACAGTCTGGTCTGGTCATTTTCCTTTTTTCGAAGGGAAGTGTCTGCAGGTGAATTTAATCCAAGTTCAATTCTGTTACTCAGTATGAATAGTGATTAATTCTGAAAGCCTGAAGTTGAATGCAACAGGGAATGAAAATGGGTTCTATGGGTACCCACAAGTCTCCCCTTTGCAGATATGCCCCCTTTATGCAAATCCTATGCAGCTTTGGGGCAAAAACCTTGCAGTATTTTGCATGTGGTATAAATGTGTTATTTTTGCCTAGTGTATTTAAATATTTCTGCACATTGGGAATGACTGGAAAGCTGAGACACATACTTTATGCCACCCCTGTATAAGTCAGTGCCCCACTTGTACCCCCCAGTCAAAAAAGTCTGAAAACACAACTGGAAAACAATCACTCTATAGGATCTTTTGTACCAATGAATGTGTTTATGTCACATTTTCTGGTGCCCCTGGTAATTTGTGTCGGGGACAAGGTGCAGGTGTACTGTAAAGTGTTTTTAACAATGTGCAGCTTTAATTTGAATACTGGTCTATTAGAGTCCATGTCAGCCCTTTGTACTGTTCAAACAAACCTGGTGCAGAACTAAGACACAGTCAAGTTTGTTAAATATTAGTAACTAATATTTATCAGGATTTACATTAGCCTGGTATTTATATTATTACCTACAGAGAATTGATGAAAAATGTGTGATGTAAACTATGAGAGTCAAAGAGGGCCAAATATTTTTGCTATGTGGTTACATTTGGGCCATTGCCCATGGTCCTGAGGTAGACTAAAGGAGAGCCTGTGCTGCCCTCTAGTGCAGTTGTGACATTAAGACTATTGTGTTTGGTTGACATTACCTTTACTTCTTCATTGTTTGCAGTCCCACAAGTCCCAATGAGAAAAAACAATATTATTTACAAAATCAACATTAATAAAACGAAGAAATGAAGAAATTATAATGTAATTATTACACCAAATGGAAATATTTAATGTTTATATATAATATTATTATGGCCACAAAACTGTTTATCCTAGATAATAATGTAAATTATTTTATTTTTTTACATAATCCATGCATGTGTGCAAGTGTGTGTGTTTCATTTAAACTGATGTCCTCATAAAAGTAATAAAAACCATGAAGTATCTTACTGATATGTGTGTTCTGCAGCTGGTGGCTGACGAAACAGCAAGTTGGGCGGTTCTTGGTTTTGGATCTGCCATCTTCTATGTGTTGGCTGACACAGAATCTTTTACATATAACAGCTAACAGTACACTAAAATATGTTTCTGAAAACATTTTAAGCGAGAAATAATCAACACAGTAACAGAATCTTAATTCATATTTGATCAGCACTGCATAGTTTAACTGTTAGATCTGAGTTTGGTGAGCCTGCTGCCTGTGCTGGCTGGACTTAATTTGCGGTAGATTCTTGCAAATGTCATTAGGAGCAGCAGGAGGAGCCAGAGAACTTATAAGCAAATATGACAAAAAGTTATTGTTATAAAGTTATCTACCACAGCTTTAATTTAGATCAGAAGTATCTGAATAGGACTAGATCTCAACATTGAGATTGAGATGTTATTCAGATTAGGATAGTTTTGATGCTAAAAATCAGGATGATGAATCAAGCATGGATTGAAGGTGGTGTTATAGTTCACTAAAAATTAAACTAAAAATAGATGCGAAGCATTTTAGTTAACTGAAATAAAAATAAAAACTGACGGAAACAATATAGTGTACTCACAAAGCTAACTAAAATAAATTGAAATACCGTATTCAGTTTTAGTCTTTGTCAATTTGGTTAAATTTGTCAACACAACAAGCATGAGGCATCAGTACTTACAGTATGTTGCTGGGATGTCTACATGACTAAGTCAGTGTGTTTGTATTGTAATAGCTAATCTGAGCTTCTTAATATGTATGTAATGTAATATTTCACACAGAACGCATAGAGGGACAGCTACACTGTCCTCAAACGGCAGAGTCCAGGAAATGTGGATTTCTGGAAGAAAGTTTCAGAGATGATCCTCTGCAATGGTGTCAAGAATGAGTGCACCTTGCACGGTTCGCTGCCTGCCTGCTCAGAGCAAGGGCTCTATTTTTGTGAACTCAGCAGCGCAGATCGCAGTCAAATGGGTATCAGACATGAATCTGCTCGACCCAATGACTTAGACACCATCCTCTAACCCTGACCTGACTGCCTTTCTCCCTATACTTGCACACAGGCAAAAAACAGTCTCTGTTCTACTCAGACTATCTGTCTGACTGGCTGATGAGCAGTCTCATTTGATTGCTAAGGCCCACAAAGTTGTCCAAACACCAAACTATAATGGAACAACAGTGCTGAGCTGCGACCTGAGGCTGTGTGCAAACTATACCGTTGCTTTTGGTGTTCACTTTGTGTTATGATGGGGGGTGCTTGACTGATTGATTCACAGGATGCTGACTACAACACATTTCTCATCTTTGAGCGCCACTACGCTTCAATGGTGATTGCAAGAAAAGCATGCATGCTGGTATCTAATGAATCGGATCACCTTAATGCATAAATCATACATCAGTAATTGCCCAATTTTACACATGATCCATGATGAAGATACAGAAAGAAATGCATGGCAAAAATAGCATATTGTCAATATTTGAGAGACCCCCCAATTTTTCACAAATCATGTTTTCAGGGGAGCTCCCCCTTGCTCCTGTAGTTCACACACTGAATTGCAGCTCTATTGTGATGTTGGTGCAGAGAGCTGTGTAGAAACTGGTATTTCCCTGGGTGGCACTGAGGTTATTTCCTTGCCTATGCTGGTTTGTCATCTCATCCGCCCCAGTGGGAGGAAACCAAAAACATGAAGCATAAACACGCTTCATGTCTTTGGTTTGAGTGTGGCAGTGCCATCGCAGCCATTACGTTTTCACAGTTTGGAATCCATAGAAATAATACAATAAAATAACTTTTTTCTTGTGGGGGGTACAGTGAGCAAGCCAAGCCTTCAGCCATGGTGGAAGCATTAGGATTTTGGAAGAAGTAGAAAGATGTGGGCTCCCCCTTCTTGAGGCAATTAAAAATAATCAGGATATTGGACTATAGAAGTGTGCGCTAGACAGTTTATTCAGTCCTCACGACTATCCTGAAAATGCAAATTCACCACGTCTTTATCTCGATAAGCGATAATATTGTATATCGTTCCATCCACCTTTGGACATTTTCATGGCCAGGCTCGCATGCGCACCTGTGGGGCAGTTAGGTACAGGGTGAGATCAGGAGGAATATCACTGCAGTCATCCTATAATATATAAATGAATGAGGTATGCAGAAAGTTGTGATGCATTTACATTTATTTATTTGAATGCACCCGTCTCCAAACCACCTGTTGATTTACAGAAACGTAAAATAACTGAAAGTTTGATGTGCACATAAGCACATTTATGTGGTTATTGTGCAACAGTCTTTTGCTAGTTGCACAAATATTAACCAGCAGATCTGCCGTGGATAATTGTGGTTTTGATGCAACATCCCTCCTGTGACTACAGATGGTACTGATACCTGCTGCCTTCAGAGGGCTGCAATGAGAGTTGGCACAGCAAAGCTTTCAGTGTAGGCTACACACTGTCGGGGATTAGGTATTTGTGTGATTTTCATATTAAAACAATTTTTATATTAAATTAAGTGACCAAATTATTATGGAACTAAAGTGCCCTGAGGAGTATTCTTGACAGAATGTGGCGATGGCACTGCCACACTTGCTACCGTACATCGTACCTCTCCTCCCACTGGGGCGGATGAGATACCAAAGTGGCGCAGGGGAGGAAATAACCTCAGTGCCACCCAGGGAAATACCAGTTTCTACAATAGAGCCTCAGTTCACAGCTCAGCACTGTTGTTCCATAATAGTTTGGTGTTTGAACAACTGAGTAGGCCTTAGCATTGAAATGAGACTGCTCATTAGACAGATAGTGTTTTAGCCTAAGTAGATAGAATGTCGATATAAGGTCAGGCAGGGTATCTGCTCTTTAATTGGAAGAAAGTATAGGGTGAAAGGCAGTTAAGTCAGGGTTAGAGGATGGTGTCCGAGTCACTGAGTAGATTTATGACAGCACAGCCTAATACCCATTGCAAGGCCCGATGATAGTTCAAAACATCATTGAACATGAATCCAGCTCTTGGCAAATTTTACTGATATAACTGTAAGGTCAGAAACATACAAATGAAATTAAAACTGTGAGTTAAAGCAGTGCAGTGCTGGAGTTTAGGCACATGGAATGGACGCAGGTTTTGTATCAGGTTATACATTAAAAGCTAAGCTGTGAACCGGGGAGGCAGCGGGTGAAACAGTTTGTTCAAACGGTTATGATGTGGTCTGTGCCTACAGAAGCTGCGTAAGCATGTACCCCTTTCCTCTGCAGAGCTGTGAGAACAGAAACAGGAAGACCATATTTTAGTGGTTTTACAAATCTAAAATCAGCCTACTTGGTGTGCCAGTTCTGCAGATGCATGAGTAAGTTCACAGGTAAATAAATGAGTGTGACACAGGGTGGCACAGTGGCAGGTGGCTGTGGTGATGGGTAAGGGTTAACCATCTCTGACACCCAGATAAACGTGAGAGTGAACACACCCAAACTTAATGTGAGGATGAAGTGTAAAAACTCTTTAAATTAGCAGATGATCATGCATGAAGTTTGGAGCTCAAACGCAGTCAAAGTAGATGGATACTGTTTCTTTTTATGTGAAGATGAAACCATATTATGATCAGTATTTTGTTGCTGCTGTTTACATTTAACCAGATACAAATTCAAAAAGTGCGGTGGGTGTATATTAGCATATATATAAATATAATAATTGCATATATTGTTTCATTGTGTTCTATGTGTATAATGTAATGTATATAAATTAAATGTGAAATTACCTAATTAATGGCCATTTTTCCTTTTTGTTGCAGCTTGTTACTTCCTACTGACCACTGATTGAGGCTGTAAATCAACCGTCACACACTGCCATCGAGAAACTGGGTGTGTATGTGTGTGTAAGTGGGAAGCCACAGATGAGTCAAAAAATTTGTGAGGGGCAGGATTTCCTTTATAATATATAGGATGTGTTGAGTAGGACAAAGCTGTACGGGCAGCACACAGCCCGACATCATGTCACCCAGGTAAGTGCCAACATCTCTGCCAACTTCACTTTTATATCATTCAAATCCTGCTAAGCTGGTATCAAAGTTTTTACTGCTGATTTATAATGCACAGAATGCTATTGTATTGCTACTCTGGGTGATGGAAACTATAAAAATCAGGTTTTGCAGGGATTTTATTTTATTTCTTCCTTCTTATGAAATGTTAAAATTATGTTCGGTTTGTGGCGTAGCCAACATCAGCGTGTGCCATCTTCAAAACCTGTCAAAAACCTGTTTCTGCCAGTTTCATTTCACCAGCTGCCTCGTCATTAAACCACAGGAAAAGGTTATTTGAATATGCTCGACAGAAAGTGATTTATTATTGAAAAAACATGCTGATGATACTACGCTTTGCTATACTCAGGAATGACTTTATTCAGTCACCTGTTTTAATTAATTGATGAGTCACAGACTGTTCAATTTGTTTTTTTCCGTATGATAATTAAGTATAAAGTTTAATTCATTTGTTTAATTAGGTATAAGCAAGTATAAACCTTTAGCATTAATTTATTTGGGCAGTTAGTGTGCAGTATGATGAAATCCTTCAAAGAACAAACATCCAGCAGAAGCAGAACTTGCGACACAGAAAGGATGAAACAGACAGCAGTGTCGATTTCACAAAATGCTCTGAATTGCATTGTAAAAACAAACTCACCAATTTTCTAAAAGTTTGAACATATTGTAAAGAAACCCCAAGGATTACAGCAATTCTATCCTATTTATAATTCTATTTATTTGGGATTTTAGTTGTATTTAATTTATGTCTGTTACATATCTAATACAAGCTCAATCAATTGTAATTAACTAATTCATTAATTTTGGGAATTCAAATTAAATATGTTCTGCAGTAGAATATGTTTTTGTCGTTAACACCTTGCCCTCTGTAGTTCCTGCACTGATGAGAACAGATGAAAGCAAAATAACTTCTCTGATCTACCCTTCCTTCCTTTCAAGTTCCATACCAGTGATCTGTGCCCTTTTGACCTGGAATACGCCCCCCCACCATGACAACATCTGGATCCCGAGCCTTCCTGCTCTTCCTCTTCCTCCTCCTCCTCGGCTCCCTCTTGCCCCTGCTTTATTACAGCTTCTTGGACCGGAAGCTTGAGCAGCAGAAATGTCATCTGAATGCTCCCCGGAGGAACATCAGTGTCCTGCTGTGGCACTGGCCGTTCGGCCGCTCCTACAGCCTTGACGGGGACAAGTGCCTCGAGATGTACAACATCAGCCGCTGCTTCCTCACTGATAACACCACCGCCTTCTCCGCCGCTGATGTGGTCGTCTTCCACCACCATGAGGTAAGCAGAGGTATGTCCCCGCTGCCCCTGCACCAGGAACGCCCGGCCACCCAGCATTGGGTGTGGTTGTCCATGGAGCCTCCTGTCAACAGTGTGAACCTCTCGCAGCTCAACGGCCTCTTCAACTGGACCATGAGCTACAGACGCGATGCAGACATATCCATCCCCTATGGAAAGACCGTGTTAGGAGGCGATGAGCTCAACTTCCAGGCTGCTCCAAACCGCTCCTGCTTTGTCAGCTGGGTGGTAAGCAAATACCGGCCTCACCAGGCTCGGGCTAGGGTTTACCAAAGTCTAAAGAAGTATATTCCCATAGAGGTGTACGGCAGGTGGAACAAGAAACCCCTGTCGAACAATAAGCTGTTGCCAACCATCGCAAACTGCCTTTTTTACCTGTCTTTTGAGAACTCTGAGGCAAAGGACTACATCAGTGAGAAGCTGTGGAGGAACGCGTTCCAAGCTGGAGCCGTGCCTGTGGTTCTCGGCCCAAGCAGGACCACCTACGAGGCCCTGGCTCCCCCAGGTTCCTTTATCCATGTGGCTGATTTCAAGAGCACAGCGGATCTAGCTGCCTATCTGAAGCGTGTGGCTGCAGACAAGCAGACCTATGAGAAGTACTTCCAGTGGCGGCACACTCACAGAATAAAAACCTACACAGACTGGAGAGAAAGGCTCTGTCAAATCTGCGTGAAGTACCCCAGTTTACCAGCCCACAGAGTCTATCAGGACCTGGAGGGCTGGGTTTACAGCTAAGATTTTTATCTTTTCATGCTTTCAGGTCACTGAAGTGTTTTGATTGGGACTGCTGATACTGCTGGGTTACCACATGCAAATGTGAAATACCAAACAGTGACAATTTGATGTGGGATTTACATTCAGGTATTTAGTTTTGGTAAACTGTGAGGAACTGCACACCACAGAAACGAATCTCAAGTGGTTTGTTGGGTTGGTCATGTGCTGTTAAAAAAAGCGGAAGTGGGAACGTGTGAGTAACCATAAATAAGCATGTTCTCTTTGCTCTAACCACGGAAGAAAGGTTCTATTTACAATGGGCCACTGATTACTGTAAGCAGTGAGGGTATGTAATTATTCTTTACCTGAAATGTCTGCTCATCCAAAACAACAGACATTTTGTTTTCCTTCCTTGATTATGTTTGTCTGCTCAGGGCCCCAGTGTGTTTCAGACTAAGTACTTTTAGATCTCCTGCTTAGTATTAGGAAATGACATGGTTACGCAAAAATAACTTTAATAGTAAGGAGATAATAATAACGGTAGGGATGCACCAATCGGGAAATTCTGGGCCGATACCCCTTGTTTATAATAACAATTTGTTGGAAATAAACAAGGTTGAAAAATAGCCAACACAGCATTTAACCAGTGCAAAATGATGCAACAACGAATACATCTGCCACTGACATTGAAGAATGTTATCTTATTTGCTGATATGCTGATGTCAGTCAATGAGGCGAATATCGGCTGACACCGATGTTTGGCAGATAAATCGGTGCATCCCTACATTACATACATATGTGTGGCGCTTTTCTTAACATTTTAAATTTTTACTTTTAAGTGCTTTAAACATGTAACAATTACGCATTGAAATGTAAAAACAAACAACTAGACTTCTTGTTATACTTGTAATTGTTGTATATTTTGTTACAAATCTGACATTTCATCAGGTAACGCTGTGTTTATTACTTACCTTTAGTTACTGTAACTCCCGGGTACCATGGTGGAGAGTGAGAGGCAGTCTTGAAACCTAATGTGAATAAAAGTTTAATAAATATCCTCCTACTTGAGCATGATTTCCCATAAGATAAATCAGCAATGGGGGTTGTAACAACGAAAACAACTCCCATGAGCCAGTGCTACTTCATGACTACGTCTTTTGTTATTTCTTTGTTGACAGAGAGCCCCTAGTGGCAGAAATTACAAGTAAAACCAGATAATTTCTCCATTTTAGGTACCATGACAGTAAATGCAGTGTCTTCTTGTGCTTGCAGTTAAAAAATAGTTTTGGACCAATCGTAACTGATTTAATGCTTTTGAAAGGAAAAAAAAACTAAATCAAAATCTTGTCAGTCCAGTGTATTGGATTTAGTGGCATAGTGGCGTCCGTGAAACCTGCGATAAAAGCGCCACAATCTAGAGACAGAATTTGCTTGGTCCATTCTAAGCTACTGTAGAAACTGATTGTACTGAATATACTACTAATGAAAACATACCTATGAATATTACACCGATCAGCCATAACCTTCTGACCACTAGGGCTGGGCTATTTTATCGATACTGCGATATATATCGATATTTCTGGTTTCCCAGAAAGTATCGATTTTCAGCCGCGAGTATCGATACATTAATCCCATCAATCCCCCGGTTCCGACCTGCACTCGTCTCGCTGCCCGTTTCCCCGTTATTCGCTTGAGGAAGAGCGATTCAGGTCAGCCAGCCGCTAGGTGTTCGCTGTAGAGCATTTCTAGCAAAGTTGCCCGTTGATACTCCCTTGTACACAGACTGCGTTTCATTAGCAGTTCCATTACCCTCGAGCCCTTGGTATGACGTAACGCAGCATTGACGTCGCAGCGGAGGCCACTTGGAGCGCGGAGGGAAAGTGGGCGGGGGAGGAGCGGGGGATTTAAAGTGAAGACGCATTGCCCTGGAGTCTACCATGAAAGCCTTCGGCGTTATTAGCGGCAATGACGGTAAACTGCAATGCATTGTGGGGTGATATCCACCTCGAGTGGGACCATCGTTGTTCACTCGCTCCTCAGCCCTCCGAGGTCATCTCACCAAGTTTCACTTCAGTTTTACAGACAATTGGAACGACACTTATGATGGCTGCGGGATTCCCCCGAGGGCAAGTGGAACTGAGGCATGTTGAAGGACTTTAATTGAAACGCAGCCACGACGCCGAGTCTTCTTCTTCCTACCTTAAACTACTATCGGCTTAAGACGACTAACATTGTTTAATTAAATGTTGAGAATGGTTGTTCTTATGACGTTGAATGTATTGGCTTTTTGGAAGCCATGTATATGTGTTACTTACCTGGTGGGCTAGACTGGCTACCTCATATGTTCCGTGTCAAGTTAAAAGCTGTCAAGAATCTTGTTTCAGAACAGGCCAGCTGCTGCACTTTTTAATTCAAGATTCAAGCTTTATTTATCGAGGGAAATTTACTGTGCAACGTGAAATGCAAAGGTGGGAAAGTAATACAGGGTAGAGTAAAATATTGCCTAACTAAAAGTAAAATAAAATAAGAGGCATACATAGTAAATAAATCAATCAATTAACAAATGCTATCAAAAGGCAGAGCAGCTTAGCGGTAACATAAGTAGAAAAAAAACTCTCTGTTTCATTGTAATACGCATTATTTACTTTTAAAGGCTTGTAAGCTACATGTTTGCACTGTTGTTCAAGTAAGATAAACTAATTTTCTCACCACATCGTTGGATTCATTTGTCCAGCATTTGCAGGCGTAGACTCTCTGTCCAGTCAGAGCCATATATTGTGTAATTTCAGTTTTCAGTCAGTTAAATTCATCCAAGCAATGACACTCACAAGATGTCACCAAAATCCACTGTCCCTTTAAAATCTTTCCATAAAATGATTGTAAGTGTATCGAATGTATCGTATCGTATCGGAATCGATCGTTTAATATCGTGTATCGTATCGTATCGCGAGATTAGTGTATCGCTACAGCCCTACTGACCACCAGGGTGCCCAGGTGAACAGAATGTTATGGCTGATCAGTGTATGTTCCATTTATGCCAATAGGCACTTTTTTAACCTTGAAGTAGTCAATCTAACAATCACACGCACTTCATGCCACAAAGTGTCTATGTGTGTGAAGGTGTGAAAATAGACAGGATTTGAATTTCTCTCTCAACCTTTTTGTTCACTCTTTACATAACTACTTCCTTCACTTATGTGAAGGACAGAGTGCAACACTGAACTCTTTCAAGTAGAGACTGAAAGTGTGTGCTGTTAGTGATTCATCAGATCAAAACTACACAGACCAGAAAAAGACATGATGGGCCCCCTCGTTCACAGGCGGAGTTACCCAGCTTAGAAAGTTGACAATTTGATATGAGTCTGGATTTTTTGGTTCTTTAAAGCTGGTTTAGAAATCATCTGGAAATGCTGTCAGAGTCCTGCAGCCCTAATCTAAATGCAGCTTATTATATTAGCTTGATCATGACCAATAAATTTTAGGGTAAACCCCATACATGCAGGGGCAGATCTAGAGAAATACTCATGGGGTGGCTTAAGAGTAGCATGAAGACTTTAAGCGGTGACAGAAATATATGTGGATTTAATCACAAACAATCATATATTTCAATATTTGCTTGGAAAAGCCCCCAAATGAAGATATTGATTTTTTTTTTCAATTCAATTCAATTGTATTTGTATAGCACCAATTCATACCAGAAGTTATCTCAGGACACTTTTCAAATAGAGCACGTCTACACCAAACTCCTTGTAGCATTATTTACCAGATCCAACAGTACCACCATGAGCAAGCACTTGGCGATGGCGGCAAGGAAAAACTGCCTTTGAAGAGGCAGAAACCTCGGACAGACCAAAAGTTCAAGTCAAAAAACAATAAATTATTGTGGCACATTGGTAAAACATTGAATAGAAATATCTAAAGGTGGCATTAGAAATCAGTTAACTGTTTTAATTCCAAATCATCAGAAAAGTTTCCAAATCTTCAGACATTTTTCACCTGAATATATGAACTGTTGTGTATTTGTTACCTTAGAATAAAACTTTTATATCTACTGACACAGCAGGGTCGCTTTCCATAGAGGCCAGGATGTTGAACCAGTGCAGTTTTCATGAGTTGAAAAATAAGTAAACTAATCTCCATTGTATTATACAGCATGTTTAAGAAGTAAGTAAACTAGCCTCTGTCTCCCTGCTCTCCTGCTCACCTGACAATGTGTATAATACTCAATACATTTGAAGTACATTTTGCTGATAATACTACTCTTTTACTTGAGTACAATTTTAAATAAAGGGCATTAGATAAGTTCTTTAAAAATCAAATGAACATTTATTCTGGGGTTATGTGATTTCTCCTATAACATTTTATTCCTGGAAAAGTTGACAAACCTTTGAAACATCATATAAATCAGCAAAAGTAGTCAGATCATTTAGAGGCCTGGTGTTGGTGGGTGCGTTGGAGGCAAGGAGATTGACTTTTCCCCATGTGTGTCACATGAGTATGAAACCTCTTTAGTTATTGTTGTCAGTTAGGGTTAATTAGTCCACAGACTGGTTTACATTCTGCATTTGCATTGTTACAGCAGTCAGTAGAATCATCTCCCTTGAAGCTCACAGGTTTCATTCTGGCAAACACCTTCATGTTGGAAAATCACTGGGGCGTGTAATGACAAAAGCGGCAGTGTTTTCCGTTGTGTACGTCATCAGATCTGCGAGGAAAGAATATTCTGCTAGAAAAGCATGCACTGTATGTAGGCTGACAGCTGACAGTAGTGTGGTACACTATGAGTGGAGAGGTTTCAGGGTTTGAGTAATAACTTTGGCTTCATGGCACACGTGTGGGAACTGAGCAGAAGAGTCAATATCATTGCACTCATCATCTTGAACAAAAAATCCCCCAATGTCTACACACACACACACACACTCACACAGAACATTTACTCCATTCCTTATGCATTTTGCTTATAGAACTTGCCTAAAACTTTTCTCTTATTTTAAACAGATATTTGACATTTTATCTATCAAATCAAAGATCTACACATAACAGCTTTCATAATTGTTACAAGAAAAACCTGTAGATAATGTGCTACTAGTAAGTAGTAGTACTAACGACCATTTTCTGTAGACTGTACTGTACTCATTATAATTATTGTAAGTACTTCCATTTTCTGCTACTTACTTACTTCACCACATTTCAGAGGGAATATGTGAAGATTTAAATCGATGAGATGAAAAATTAATCATGATACTCGATTGACTTTGCTTTTCCGACATCCTCGTTAGTCATTTTATTGACTCAAAAAGATCAACTATTGGAATGCAAATGATATACACAAGAAATCATAAATACAGTAAACCCATTAGTTTAAAAAAAACATATTAAATTAAAGGACTACTGTGTAGGATTTAGTGACATCTAGTGCTGAGATTGCAGATTGCAACTGCCTGTAACCCCTTATATCAACCAACTGCAAAGGACAAACTACAATGGTTTCAAAATGTATAAAAAAGGAATGGTCCTATTTAGAGTAAGTGTTTGGTGTGTTTGTTCTGGGCTACTGTAGACACATGGAGGGTTTCAAACAATGGGCCCTCATAAAGGAGAAAAACCGCTTTTCCCTTCTTGGTTAGAAAATAACAAGCCTTCATTCAGGTAACAAAAAACAACAAAATTCCTATAGTCAGGTGATTATTCACCAATGGAAACATACATGGATATGAAATTATATTTCCTTTGTGTCAATAGATCCTCCTAAATGTTACACACCTTTTTCCACCAAATTAAATCTACATCACTTGCGTCAGTAGTTGTACCAAGGCAACCGCAGGTGAAGAGGGTGTATCATCTTGTTTAAAACTGGAGGTGTGGAAGCTTTTTGGCTTCCCTCAGTCAGAAAATGAAAAAGCTCAGAAGTTAAGAGACAAGAGATGGCAAGAGAAATGAGGCCCTAGCTGCCGGGGTTTTATTTTCAGTTTCACTTCTACAAAGAAAAAGAAAATACTGCACAGTTTATACCTCAAAAACAAAGGGATTCTTTAATTTGATAAAGAAAATATATGCTGTACATTTTTGGCTGATAAATAAAGAAATCTTTTTTTAGTCGTAATTTGCCTTCAATCTCACTAATGAAATATATACACGGATGTTCACATCATTGCCAGGATGTGGTCTGCATGGTTGCTTTTGTGGCAGCTCTTTTGTTCCTTAATAACTATGATTGATGTCTCTTTTATTTATTTAGGTGTGTGTATGTACTGTATTGAAAAAGGGAAAATTCAAATTAAAAAATGTGAGAAAATTATATTGTGACCCCAGTATGATGAATTGTAACACCACTTAATATGAAAGTATCATATTGGTTAGTTATTTCCTGTGACAGCTCTCCTTTTCACATACAGGCTGAAAACAAAGGGCCCTGTGTCCACTGCCCTGTAGAACATGTATTTAAGAATTAACAGCACTCAAAGGACCCATTCTGCATAAGTACTTTTCATTCTAGAACACTTTGCTCTGTTTTTCTTCAATAAAATTGTGACTGCAAGATTTTAACTCGTAAGAGTACTTCCTCCACCACTGCTAAATATCCCCACTGACACATACCACTCTGAAGGGGTCATTCTAGTAGAATTATGAATGCAGGACATATAATTGAGTTGCAGATAATTACTTTCATGCACATTGATTGGCACTGTTTGCCAGATTGGTTGGTGGTCGCAAACCTCAGGGCTAATGGCTTTTCAGGTGATTATTCACAAATGAAAACATACCTATGAATAGATCCTCCTAAATGTTACACACTGGACCTTTAAAAAAAATGATTTCCCCAGTTATTTTCTGGGAGAAAAAAAAAGACACCACAACAAACCATGTTTCACTTCAGGTTATATAAATATTTATTTCCTTAATTTCAGCTGTGGTATATCCACATGCATGCTAAACATAGTGGTAAAGAAGTTCTCTTCTGTGTACAGAACTCATATGTAGTCTCAAAACAGTCTGTATCAAAGATAGCTAACCTAGGTAGTTACTTGTTCTAGAGTTCCTTCATAATACCCATTCATCATCAGAGAGAGAATGACCAAAACAAGACAACCTGCTCGGTTTTTGTATAGCTCTCAGCACTAATGAAGGGAAAGCAAAGCTATTTAACATTTAAAAAAAGGCAAACATGAGTATTTGTATCTTTTCTGCTAATCCCTCACTCCCTCTGACCGATAAATTGCCCTTCATTTTGTTCCACAAGCTCAGTAGGTTTAAATAAAACAGTCTTTACAACACAGTTAAAGATCTCCAGTGTTAATACTCCCTGGTATCTGCTGTAGATATTTCTTTTTACATATTGACACTCATGTATGTGTATGTGTGCAGGTCAAGTACAGTTTAGCGTGCTCCTCCACCGCCATGGGAGAGCTGAGAGGCTGAGAGAGTGGGAGCAGGCCGAAGAGAGGAGCCACAGAGAGCGACTTTCCTGAGAGACGACAGCGAGAGGCCACAGTTACATCCAGGGTTCCTGCACCATTTCCCTGCCAAACATCTGTCACTGAACTGAACAATCATGCTGGGTGTGTAATTCAACCTATGATCTATGCCTTGGGGCAACATGGCTTTCTACAAAATACAGAAAGGTAGTTGTGCACAATCCAGGACAGCATTTAGGCCAGGCGAGGATAGCAGCTTCAGTAAAGGAGAAAGCAGAGAATATCAATTAGGGATGCACCAATCTACGTTGTTTCTACTATTATGTTCATTCAGTCAAGAACTACTGCCAAGTAGTGGAATTACAGTACTGCATTACTTAATATTACATTACTCCCAACACTGGCGCTAGCTTGTTGAAAAGAAAACCAAATACCAAGGACCGAGGATGGTTTAAAGATAAAAGCCACATATATATAGTCACATCTTAAGTTAGCCAATGTAAGCGAAATGCTAGCTGACTATCTAACTAATGATTGATGTAAATTAGCAACTTACTTAGCGATTTGCTAACAGCTATTGGATGTAACTCGCTAGTTTACCACTGATACTTTACTGTAGATTAGCTAACTAGCTAGTCAATCAGTCAAAAGATCAATTGTTAGCTAGTTAGCTAGCATAAGAAGGAAAAAAGGACTGAAACATTGCCTGGTCCCTTCTAATAAAAGTTTAGGAATGATGGTTAGAATGTGCGGATACTCTCTGCTTCCCCCTTAATCTACAAAACTATTACATTTGAGTTAAAAACTTTAACGCTCAATGACAAATACACCGGGTCGAATATGTTTTTGACATAGACATTTCCTGTCCTTTCCACATGTGTAGGAACCCTGCAAATATAATCAACGATAAGGAGACTAACAGAAGTTCAATATTTGACACAGCACTCAGGAATCTACAGGAACATGTTTACACACACACTGAGTGAGAGGTAAGATCTCATTCCTGTACACATTAGCAGCTATTTACAGATCACAAAACCATGGGGACAAGCCATGTAAGTCAGATACCATATATACAGGATGGGCTCGCTCTGTTTCAGAGTTCTAGGTAAAGAAGTTTCAAATTCCTTTGAAATCATTCAAGAGATTATATATATATATATATGTATATATATATTTTATATATGTATATATAAATATATATATAAAATTATCAGTAGCAAGTTTGCACAAGAAACTTGTAAGAAGTGTAAATGCATATTGACTCTCAGGTTTCATAACAGCATCATCAATTCATGCATAGAGGAACTAGACTGAGAACACGATGGCTACATAACATACTGATAAAGAGCACGGTGCTGCATGGGGTTGAGTTCAGGAAATATTAAAATCACAATTCTTTTAAAAAATACTTAAATGAAACCAAAGCCTGCAGTGAGAACTCAATGAATTAAGGAGTATATTTGTGAAAATCTATCAATGAACTGATAGAAATACTTAGTTGTAGCTCAGTGGCATCAGAAAACTGTCCTTGTACTGGACTCAACACAGGAAATTATATTCAATATGCCAGTCTGCCACCTGATAGGCATTTTGAGTTCTTCAATATTGGCTGATTGTAATTTTGGGAACAAAAACAGGGGAAAAAAAGGTGATGACATGAAATAAAAACAGACTGTGGATGCAGAATGGGAGAAATTGGTCCCAGATTCAGTCCTGCTTCAAACAACAAACCAGCCCTTTGATGTTCTTTAAATGTCCATGAACACCTCACTCCTCATCCTCTTTCTCCTCCATGTACTTTACACTCCCCATCCTGTCCATTAGAAGGCTTGAGCACAGCAGTGTATGTGAAGTGTGTGTATGTGTGTAAATTCGACTACACACAAGTGCTGCATTTGGAGGGTGAAACATCTCAATGTCCAGGTTTATTTGTGGAACCTCTGAAAGTAAAGGGTGGAGTCATCAAACAGCGGGTTCTTCACCTCCATTTCCCCTGTCTAAAGATGGACACAGAGAGAGGAACAATGTTTGTGGGTAATGTAGTTCATTATCAGACATAAAATGTTTTCTCTGCCATTGTGTTGAGGCTCTGTTTTGCACATAGGAGGAATATTTTGTGAATGTATAGAACATGTTAAATGTAACAACAATCATAGTGCATTATCTTCAAAATAGAATAAAATAATACAACATATTGCACTCTTTAAAGCTGCAGTAGGTAACTTTTGTAAAACTTTGCTGAAACTTTTACTATATCCTGACAGTACGAGATGTGTCTGAACAAAACCAAACACTCAGAACTGAGAGAGAAGTTCCATTAAAGATGCATTAAATAATCACTTAGCCAGTTAGCATTACAAAGTTACATTTGAAGCTTTAGAGTTGTGTTAGCAAAAACACAAAAATTAGCTAAAAGAAGCTTAATGCCCGCTGAGGGCAACTGCAGAGTTGGTGACATTTTTCATGTTTGTTGTTACTAAAACATTTGGAACATTTTTAATATAAAACGTATTGATTAGCTTTAAATTGAATTTATATTATAACTAATTATGATTATTATAACTTATGGTAACGGAATTAATGGTATTGGGACAACAGAGATCTATATGAGGGAAAATGTTACTTTCTCTTTAAAACTGACATGAAAAATGGGTGCAATATGTCAAACCTCTGAGACTTTGTAAGGTATTGATATTGTTCCTTATGACAACATTGATAATATATGCAGTACTGTGTAACTTGAAAAAAAAAGTATATAAAGCAGGGTTTACTCACGGGTGCCAATCCAGGACACTCGTACACTGTGAAATCTCCGTCCTCGTTCTCCTCATCTGTCGATGCTCCTGAGTCAGGAACTTTTGGCTCATCCCTGTGTCTGCAGAGGTCGCACACACAAAGACACACACACAGTCATAAAATATTCAGAGGATAAGGCAGATCAGTCGTGGCAGGGAAGGCAGGGAGGGACAAGGGCAAAGGGGCAGGAGACGGAGACACACGCCAGAGAAAGATGAGCGTGTCTGGGCTAGGAGGGTGACTCACTTCTCCAGGGAGAGCATCTGCTGCTTCTGGTGCTGGTAGTGGTACATTTGGGCACTGTGGGCCAGCTTCTTGTCCCCAGGCTGGAACACACCGAGGGGCAGAGGGGACATGAGAAAAGTCAGTGGTATTCATCCCGTCACTGTTCACTGACATTCACTTCGCAGCATGTGTCTCTACTGCACATGTTTGAGCGGAAACTGCTGAAAGGATAGGTGCATTTGTCTTTTGTAGGGTGCTGGACAGATACAACAACTGGTGCTTTAGATAAGTGTAACTTCTGTATTTTTAAACTCATATTGCTCTATTCAAAGCCACCAGATTCCATTTACAAAAACTGTAATTTTAACTCACAGATCATCCCAACATTCACACTCGACAGAAACAAATTAAAACTCACCAAAACCATCTTGGATAGTCTTTCAACTTAACTCTTTGGTCTAAATAATTTGTGAAAATATTACCTTTTGTTTGAATGCTATGATGATCTGCTAGATCCAGATTACTTAATTATTTGTAATATTATTACAGTGCCACTAATGAGTATTTCAATTTCATTAAAGCTCCAGTAGGTCATTTTAATAAAAAATGTTTTGTCATATATTTGCTGAAACTTTCACCTATATCCTGACAGTAGTAATGAGACAGATAATCCTGTGAGCAATCAGCTTCTTCTGGCTCCTCCTAGTGCTCCTAATAGCATTTGCAAGAATCCACCGGGCCTGAACGTAAACAACCAATCAGAGCCAGAAAGATAGTTGATAGTTGGGTCACAATCCCAAGGCGTCAAGTACAGATGATTCGGGACTTATTGAAGCAACAACTCATTGTTTTTAGTGACTCCTTTCCCATTAATGCATTAAACATCTGTTTCCTGCATATGTACAGTTAAAGATAACAGCATTTGGAAAAACTACCCTAACTGACAATAACATTTATATAAAAACTGAACATTAATGGTTAGGTGGGCAACCTTAAAAAGTCCTTGTAACATATAGAGTAACACTATAGAGAGGTTCTACTCACCAAATTGTCAAAGGTTTGGGCTCTCATCAGTCCATATACAGGGTAGCTCACCTTCTGAGTTAGACGCACACCTTTCTGCAATCTGAACAAAAACACAGATGGTTCATTAGAAATATGAGGCAAGCACTACTACATTTCTGATTTTAGAATGCATTAGGAATTGACTGAAACACATTGCTGTGTCATGATACCTTACAGTAAAAACTCCCAGCATTAGTCTCAAAATTTAAAGTCAATAATTATTGTTGAAATGCCATGAGGAGCACTAGGTGGAGACTTTTGTAGTTATGTACAACTGTCAGGTTAAAGTGAAAGTTTAAAAAATTAGTTACTTACTGCCGCTTTAAATATTTAGTCGTTTGACAGGATATTCATTTTGATAACAGATTAACTGTTCAATTGTATTAAGCAAAATGCCAAGAATTATCTGGTTCCAACCTCTCAAATGTGAATATTTACTAGTTTTATCAGTCTTCTATGACACAAGACTGTAAATCTTTGATAAAATGAAGAAGACAAAAAAAAATCCTCTGGATAACTATACTCTTGGCAAGTCTAACATTTTATACACAAATTCATTGATTTAATCGGGAAAAGAATCAACAGATTGATCAGTAATGAAAATATCATGAGTTGCAGCCCTTGAAGTATTCAACATGCATTTTATCATTTCAATGCCTTAAGGCTTAATATTAACAAAAACATGCAGCACATTTGCAGGCTACAGTATTAAATCCTGACAGGAAGGGAAACAACATCTGGAGTCTCGTGCAGTAGGTTAGAGAGGAGGGAATAAATATCTTACCTGACCCAACAGGCCCCTGCTACGATCAAAGCAAGCGAACCTGCCACGATAAAGGCGCTGCTCATGACTGAGAAGAAATACATACAGACAGTTAGCGGGAGAGAACGCTGTGCAGGTCTACAGGTGTTAGAGGAAGACATGGTCTCTGACTGAAAGCTCTGCAAATGTGTTTGAAGCAGAGTGTAGCGCTCAGAGAACAGCTGCTGAATATAACGTCGTGTCAGGCTGTTGGTTCAGGCCGTGCAGGATCTGCAGTGAAAACGGCATTGATGACAGTAATGGAGCGAGGCAGAACTAACTGACAGTAACGTATGAGCTTTGTTCAGTGCAAGCCCACAGTAAATTTGTGGTCAGTCCCGAGATTTCAGAGCATGAAGAACTAATGCTTCTTCAAGGAAATTAGGTACTTTTTTACTAAAATGATGTTTATGTTTTGCAGTCGGAACATCTCTGAAAGCCTGCTGACGTCAAGATGGGTGTTCAAAAGACTCTTGTTTTCCATCTTTTTTATTCCTGTGATTGGAAATGAGGGCAGATTTAGTTGATTTATCCTGGCTACTGCCTCAGGAAATACTCCTGCTAGATCCTGCTATTTCCCAGGAATCTAGGCAAACATCTACCCCCAAATGCCAGCTGGAGGGTGTGTCTATGTGTACCTATGTATCGATGGAAGCAAAAGTGAAGCAAAGACCCCACCACGCAACCTGCACAGCTAAACACTGAAGTCCGGCCATCAAATTCCATTGTATCATCTATTTTCAAATCAACTGTATAAATTAAACAAATTAATAAAAATACAAATAAAAAAGGGGGTCCTAAACAGGCTCCCTGTGTAATCATGAAAACTGATCGCTGTGTGTCTTATTGTTGCAGCTTTTATTTGTTTTTATCATGTGAATCTTTTACTATATTCTGTCTGTGTGTAATACAAGTGATTTTAAATGTCTACGAGTGTCTCACTGTCTTACTGTTTTTATTGTGTTCTGGTTTTATGCTGCAAAAAGAATTTCCTCTTGTGGGACAATAAAAATGTGAACTGAACTCTAGCAGTCATCAAACTGTGGTCAAACACCCTCTAATGTGTTACCTGTCAGTATGGTCATTAAACAGGTAGAAACAAGAACAAAACCATAAAGTCATGGGTAGAGGACCAAAAGACTTACTGATGAAGACACGGTCATTAGAGGGGTAGGGGAGGATGATGGGGTCGCTGAGCAGAGCAGGGGTGTGGTTGGTTATGGCGGCGGTGGTGAGTGGAGCCACGCTGGTGAATGGGACGCTCTGGCTCATGGCCTGCTCTGTGGTAAATGCTCTGTGTGTGGGGCCGGGCACACCGACCTGCTTGGATTTAGGTTTAGACACATCCTGGGAGGGCGGAGCTGAGGTAAGGAATGAAAAGTTTGGAGTCATTACGTCAGCAGGGATGTGGGGGTGGTTACCAGTTCTATAAGTGTTATAGGTAAAGTAGTGGCCTTTCCAGTACCTGGCAGCCTGGATTCGGTTCTCTGCTCACTGATGATGGCAGAGAGAAAGTCAATCTCCTCATCCAGTTCGGGGTAAGCGTTCACCTTACCTGGAGGGTCACAAAATCAGAATCAGTCACTGCCTTTAAGGAAACACTCATTTATGCAAGGTTTCAATCCAAACACCGTACAGAGCAAACAGTAGGAAGATCTAGCAAAAAAACAACAATTACATCTGGGACAATTACAGGAGATTTTAAGGCATCTGAAATATATGCTGATTTAATCAAAAACAATAACATATCAATCGTTGCTTAAAAAAGATCCCATATGAAGATATTTGAACTCGAAAACATTACATTACTGTGGCACATTGGTTCAATCGTTGTTCACTTTGACAGAATTTGACCCCTGTTTTAGGGTTGGCATCTGCAGCTATAGACCATTGTAATCACACAGAATACAAACGTGACCTTTCTGAAGGTGTCTAATGTATTTTTATTACTCTGTTTTCCCTGGTTGGGGCCTGCAAAATGCTCTCTCTTTCTAAACTAATAAACTGATATTAGCTTTGTTGCACTGCTGCTGACTGCTGGAAATTAGAGTCACTTGTCCTGCCCTTTTGAGAATACTACTGAGGGTCATGGCAGTGGATTAAAAAATAAAATCATGAAGATAACACCGCCCCCATGAGGCATAAGAAATAAGGTGCAGTCTTGAATGTTTTAATGAGAGAACCAGTGTTCATGTCCCCTCCACCTCCTGTGATCCTGTGCTGCACTGCAGAGCAACATCACACTGCCTGGGAGTTTATAACGCTGATGAGTGGGAGGAGGTCACACAGGCGGGAGAGCTGAACGTGACGCAGTGTGTGTATAAGCGTTCGTGTGTGTGGGGTTGAGGCGTGTGTCTTGGAAAAAACAAGAGCAGGGAGTGTGGGTGTGTATGCAGCAGGTGAATGACTCCTCTGTGTGTGTGTGTGTGTGTGTGCGTGTGGTAGTGCTGGATGTGGGTGTAAATGTATGTAAATGCTTCATCTGTGTTTTTTATATATCGTCGTACTATCTGGTGTGAGTGGGCAAATGGATGTGGTGAGCTCTGTGTGTGTGTTACTGTGTGTGGGTGGATGGCTCAGTGCTCTACTGTCAAGCCCGGCTGGCCAAAGTGTGGGTTGATGGCAACATAGAGAAAGAAATACAAAAAAAAAGACAACGAAGGAGAGAGAGAGAAGGAGGCGTGGGTCTTCCTCAGAATCATGAATGAAAAGCGTTGCTACGGCAACAGGCAGGAGAGCAAGGAAGACGAGATGAGAAGAGAAACAAAGCCAGGATGCTGTCTGTATGTTGCCGCACATCATGCTTTAGTGCTGGATCGAAAACATGTTTCTTTTAATAAATGTCCCATTTTGTTGTCAGTGGAATCAAAGGGTCAGCTCACCTAAATTACACAAAAAATATAATTTCTCCATCTAGCCATGCAGACAGTATCTGTCTCTGAGATCAACATTTGTTTTCTAGTGAGTATTTGGGTCAGGAGGACAGTGTGTGTGGGCCTGAATCAAAATAAACTACAGAGTATGTGTTCATGCTGATGAAGGAACATGTCACCCAGTGCAACAGTCATAAGAGTGGTAAGACAACTTTTTTAAATAATACATGCAATCTGCCAGTGGTCACCTAAGCCTTATGAGGCGTCACAAAGCTTTCTTGATTTAATGGGTGAAAATTCATCCAAATCACTCATTTTACACAAACTTCCTGCAGTTGTTGTGTTCACTGTTCTTGTTATGCATTGAATATAATTTGAAAAATCCATTTGAAAAATATGTAATTTAGTTAGGGGTCTGCAGTTTCATCAATGATAAAAAAGGGTCCTTCAAGGAAAAAGGTTTAGAAACACTGCAAGAGGCCCATATGTCAGGATTTCATTCATTTCTGCCCTTACAGAAAAAAAAACACATGAATTTCCCATATGTGATCATGTAATCATCATGTAGGAGAGATGCTACATGTGGAGCAAATGTGGATAAATCATAGCATCACGTGCTCCAACACAATCATGCAGGTATCACATTACACCACAAAAATGTGAAATTCATGTTTCTTTTTCTGTAAGAGTATGAAGAAAACTAAATGAAGCGGATTATTTAAGATATAAAAATCACACAGGATGAGGATGGTGAAGACTTGAATACAAGTTCTATTCACAGAGCCTTCACTCCCTGATAAACAGCCTCATCCTGCATTAGAAAATAACACAGTTAAAACATCTGAAGAGCTTAAGAGAAGACTATAAACACTACACTTGTCAAAAAAGAAGTCTATTGAGTATGTATGATTGTTAAAAATTACATAACACTGAGCTAATGCAAAATCAATATATTCAATAGCTACTTACAGGGTCTATACTTATATTTTCTACACTTTTCACTTCCTTTTTGTTTCTCTGTTCTTTTTTGAAACCTTTCAGGCATGAGCAGAACCCCTCTGAGGAGCAAAGTGAAGATACTGGAGGAAGAATAGCAAGAGAGAGGAGGCAGAGTGGAGGAGTAACAAAGAGAGAGGGTCTCACAATCACTGTGACTTCCTTTACTGCAGTGGGTTGTTCAGCTGGCAGTCAGTCAGTCAGTCAGTCAGTCGTCAGTCAGACAGACATTTAAGTCGTGTTTGGCAGAGACTCCAGCCTTTCTGTCTGAATGGTGAAAGAGGGGGTTGAAAGGTGTTAAAGCTCTCTCATCCAGCCTCTACCAGTCACCACTGATTGTCTGCACAACCACAACGGCCTTTTCTCCTGCAGCCGAAGAACCTCAAATTTAATTTGATTGACTTATAACGAACATGTATAGATGCAAAAATAACACGTACTAACAGAGAGCATTAAAAAGTCAAACTTCCATGTTGTTTAAAGGTTTGACCAGGTAAAATAGAGCATTAAAAATACATTAGACATCTATAGACATTACAATGGTCAATATTAATAGACATGATTTGTAGTTTGCTTTTGAGAGTTGACTTTAGTCTTGCTCTGAAATAAACTGTTGGGTGATATCATATAGTTGTTTCCAGGAGATTGGTGGCTCCAGTGCTCCATGCTAACACTTCAGCAGCTCCTCAACCAACTAAAAAATGTATATGGAAGCAGAATGTGATGGTTACTGGTCTTTAATACCATTATACTGGTCTCTTGTGGGTCAAGATGATTTGAAAGCAAAATCATGTTGTGAATCTGTTTGATCCAACATTAGCTTGACAAGCTCATGATGGTAAAACATTTTTTATTCAAAAAGTGGAAGCTGAGGCTCTGACCTTAAAGAGGTACTTCTACTAATACGCCTGATATCAAAACAACTCTTAATAAGATAGATGAGATACAGGCCCTTTTAAGACTTTTTATGTGGACATTTTGTGGAAAAACATATCAAACACACATTATTGTATTTTTGTTCTAAGCAGATTAGTTGTATATGTCTGATACATGTCTGAGGGGATCTTTAAATGTTGTCTGCACATAAGCAGATTAAAATTAGGTTCTATGTGATCAAATAATAAGCGAACTAAGATAATGACGATGATGTTGATCAGTGGTACAGACACATTTCTGCCCATACAAAAAAAATATTGTGGTTTGATATCATGCAATACTTAGCTTAGTTAAGCTAAGTTATTCAAATGTGTGTGTGTATTCTGTTCAAACTGTCTGATTTGAATCAACACAGGTCATGGAGAACCTGTATACTATTATATCCATCATACAGTATGACTGGGCCAGCCAGGAGCGAGTTGCCGTAGACTGCTTATCTTAGTTCATCGTAATTATCCTTTCTTTGACCGTTCACTCTACACACTGTGGACACAGCAGCTCTGCCCCCTGACACATCCCGTGTTCACCGGCTCATTATCACTTCTCAACAGCACTGGCAGAGCAGGACGCGAAAGCAGAGACTTGTAGGGGTCTTTAGCGTTGGACATTAACCATGACACACACTGCTGACCGAGTTGGATGGAAGCTGGAAGCTGGCATTACACCCACTGGGACTCTCTGAAGTCGCCCTTTGGTAAAGTACATGACTCATGTAGAGGAAGCACACGGATCAATTAGAGTCTCACTGGCACACTGCAATCACACCAAATATGGAGCATTACTCACACTCTCTGCTGACTGTTCATATGGTTGCTGTCCCATTTGTGTTACATTAAATAGTCACATTAATACTTCTTCTATTTATTTGAATGTGTCAACACACTGATCTGATTCTAAGAACGCAGTCGTGGGGGAGTACTGTTCATCTTGTGAAAACAGATGGAGAAATCAGAGAAAATAACCCTGCTGATGTCTTCGGTGTTAACTCAGCCTATAAACACAATCTAACACCCACCTTTAATGGACGAGGCAGAATGAGGGGCATGCCTCCTCTTGACCACACAGCGGCCATGGGAGTTCTCCACCAGCGGGCGCAGGCAGGGCCCACAGTGGGAGCTGCCTGGCTGGCAGAAGTGCCGTCCCGCCCGGGCACAGTCTAAGCTCCGAGGGCACAGATGAGATCCTGTGAAGACAGACAGCGCACAGAGTTACTTTTCACAACGTTCTGAAGGGAAACTGCTCCAATTTTAATTAATTAATTAAACTATTTTTTAATTTTTAAACCAACTGCCCAAAATCTTATTACAAACAACAAAATTCCATCACAAAACATATTTTTTCAAATAAAGCCTATTATTTATTCTAGCACAGTTTAATTGCCATCATTTCCCATCTATTTTACCATTACTGCTTTTGTTTTTAACATTTATTAGTGATGGGTATTTTATTCTATCATTTTTATTCTATCATTTTTATTGTCTACATTTATTATCGGTTTCATTGTTAGGCGCCTTTTTATTTTTTTTATTTTACCTCACTTCTATATGATTTTCATTGGCTGATTATATTTTGCCTTATTGCCTCCTGAATTGTTTTTAATCCTGGTTAAGCCACTAACTTTGTTTTGTTCAGATGATAAAATTGGAACGATAGCACAGGCAGTAGTACAACTACTGAATTCAATCACACACACACCTACACACACACACCCCGACTATGTGACGTCTTCCTGCGTGTTAAAGTCATTTTGACAAACAGAACTAACAGAAGCGAAAATAAACAGACCAACAGCTCTGAACTCTGGCAGACATCCATCCTGCCTGTGCACTGTGGATATGTGTGGAGAACATGGTATACACAGAGGTGATACGATTCATTTTTGTCTTTTGGGTCCAATTTTTATTTTTTAGCTGTTAAGGCGTCGACTGTTGCTTTGTGTGGGTAAGGGCTCAGTGGTTAATGGAATTATTACTCAGGATTTCACAGGTCACAGGCTGCATTTTGATGTTTATTTTTCAGCCTTCAAAATTCATTTGTGCCAAATGTGTGTTATGATCACTGGAACTGTTGCAGGGACAACAAGAGCAGCACTAGCTCTAACTTTAACTGGCTGTATTGTAAATGGCATTAATTTCACAACAGAATCGACACTGGAAATGTTAGTTAGTAAAGTCAGGGTGGCCTTTTTAAAACTGGGTGAAAGTTGTGTATTTGAAGGTCAGAGATGATCTCCAAGCTTTATTACAAGGCATCTCAAGGAAAATGCCAGCTTTGAAAATGTCCCTGTAACTTGAGAACAGATGAGTGGGCAACCTCGTCTGGGATGTTGCTGTGATACTGTTTTGGTGCGGGCGAGGCCGGCGCTACTTGTCAGGTGTGATGTATGAGAGTGTATGGGTGGCAAAGGATGTTCCTGGAGGCTTAATGCAGAGCTGACAACTGTCAGGCGGGCTACGGGATAAACACACCCGTGTGAAGGGAAATCTGTGAAGAAAGGGACACTCAAGGCTCAAGCCGACGTATGCCTCTGAGCTTATGAATTCTTTGATGGATGTGGCATGTTTTTCTGACAGTTGCACATTGCAAAGCTGACATCAAACTCATGCGTCTACGCTGCAGGAAACTTAATAAGAAAGAGTCATGGTGGGGGACGGAGAGAAGCAGAGAGAGAAGAAGTCCAAAGCGTAGCTTCATTTCACACCAGCAATATGTCGAAGCATTCTATGCAACATGGGCTTAAATTCCAGGAATGCTTGTATTTGATGTCCGTTACTGAGGGTAAATATCAAATGTTATAAGAACCTTAGTGGCATGCAGTCGGGCTTAGCAGAGTTTTTATATGGCTAAGAAAAACTAAATTATAATGAATAATTTACAAATGTTAGGGATGGAAATTGATAACCAGCTTCAAATTGAGTGTACTCTACAAGATAATAAAACAGTTACATTGAAGCTAAAGACTTGTGTAGGCCTACTTTTTTTTCCCCCACACAGAAAACTCATGCCTAGCAGTACAGCATCAAAACTACAGAGAGTTAAGACAAAGAAGAATGGGCTTTTGCTATTATCTACCAAAACTGTGGAATAGCCTGCTTATGAATACCCGGCATGCAACTTCTGTAAACTGATTGATTGAGTCTCGTGAGTTAAGTAAACAGCTTGGCTTGGCTGTTCCCCAAAGTGGGAAAAATATACCTACCAACATGTCTAAAGCTCACTGATTAACATGTAGTTCCGACTTCCCCTTAAACGACAAATGATAATTTTTAATATTTCTATTATTGTACAGATTAAACAAATGAGAAACACTGTGTTAATTAGTGAGCTTTAGATGTGTTAGTAGGCATATTTTTAAACGGAGCCTTACCCTTTTCCCCTTCAGGTCAGATTAATATCATCTCATCCAACTCTCTAAAGAAAGCAGATAAGCATATGTAAGTGTTACAGTAAACATCTTAATCTTGCCATCAAGTACTCTTGTTTTTGGTATTGTAATACTAAAAAGTTTTTTTATTTTAACCACTCTGTTTGGACTATTTCTTCATTTGTTAATTTTTCTTACTTTAATATAAAGCTGTACAATACAGATTATTATCATTGTAATCATTCAATATAACAATATTTATTAGTCTGATGTATACAATTATTTAAAACACAAAATACTTCTTAGTAACATGTTAATAAAATGGGGTCAGTTGGGTTTATCCTCCATTACACCCCTCCAATATTCTCCCTGAGAATCACAGCACTGCCGCTGTTCCCCACAGGGACTATCTGTTGCACTTGTTGTTATGGTGCGACAGTGCATCCATTCACTTCTCACTGTGTTTCCTTAGCTAGCACAAGACATCTGAGCCCAACACCAGTGTGCAGGGAAGAATAAAGCTGGACTCATTGCCCTGCAGAGCCTTTGGAAGTAGCCTCGATGCCGCGGGGAAAATAATTAGAGCCAGCTATCAATATTAACCCCTTTAGCTGCATCATCAGAATCGCTCTCGTCTCCGCTACAGGAGCCTAGACACTGGTTGCCAGGACGACTGCCATGGCAACTGAGGAGGTGTGACATCATCAGGGGGGGTGAGTCACCACACAGATGCACACAAGTCAAGGATGGAAGGTTTGTCTCAGGCTAGTGTGTCAAGCAGAAAAAGGCAGGGACAGCAAATGCATGGGGAAAATGTAGAGGACGATCAATATTCTCCCGATAACTGTAATCCTAAACACTGAAAACAAATCTCTATGCCATTATGGAGGAATTTAACTCTTCTCTGCAGCATAACATGCTACCAAAACAACATCTCATTTGCAGCATTCACAGCGCATGTATTTTTGCACAATAAAACGAAAATACTTTTTACTAGTTTGCAAAAGTAATATAGGTGCATATGTTTATGCTTTATGCATAAATTTATGCTGCACTAATGCCATGACTGAAGCAGCTATCAAACTGTACACCTCATTCATGCACACAATAGCCTGCCCTTGGAGACTACAACGGCAGTGGATAATCTATGCAAAGCTTTACAGCTGGATGATGGAGAGTGGATGACACATACTCAGTCACAGAAGAGACCACAGAGATCCTGTGTGCCTGAGATGAAGGGGCTGCATGCAGTCAATTCAGTTGAAGACAAAAGAGCTAAAACAAATACTTATGCAAGCACCTTGTGAGCATAATGTAAGAATACTTTCATCTACTGCAGATTCAATGCAATACTTACATGACAGAAGTGAAAATAATAATTTGAATTCAGCCTTACATGTTAATAAATGTAGTACAAGCACTGTCTTTCATAAACCCTGACCCGAACAGGACATTTTGTACTGCCACACATAAAACCTACATAGCAGAAAATCCTCCATTGTATACAGTTACTGTCAATGTGCTGTCATGAATAAACAATGGCCAGTTCTGTGTGCACCTGTTGCACAAACAGAACAGTGACTGGGAACACTCTCCGGTGGATTGAACTCTCTCGACTGAACTGCTTTGAATAAATCCACATTCAAATAAAACTGACTGCAGAGCAGCTTTTATCAAGGCACTTTGAAAAGGGCTGTAAAGTGCATTAGAGCATGTATTATATTAGGTGTTTTGTACTTCCATCAGTGGAGTCTCTGAGCACCAATGACATTCCCGCAGTGTCAAATACACTTTCTTCTAAAGTCAGTTTCCTAGCAACCTCTTGTCCTCTGTTTGATCAAAGCGTAGGAAACATGTTCATTCTCTCTTCTCTCTTTCACTCCACCTCAAGGCTGTGCCGAATGACACGTCCTCAGAGGTTCTGGATAGGGTTTGGCAGATGAAGGCTTATTAAGGCCATTATTGTTGCACATAGTTGCCTCAATTCATATTTGACTCCTGTCTGTTTGGATGGGCAGCACTGCAGGTAGGGATGGTGGTTTATAACAGTCTAATATTACAACAAATGATCTCATTTGTTTAAAGGTTTCTAAAGCTGCACTAATCAGTATGTCTAAAAAATGCATAATAGAATGCTGCAGGTATTTTTGTAGGCCAACCTGGAAGTTAACATTGTCTTGGTTCCTTCCACAAAAAGCCAATGGAGTTTTTCAAATGGGTTTTTGATTATTGGAGAAGATAAGCTTTGTGGAAAACAAAGATTTATTAAGCGTAAATGTGATTGCCAAAAGTAAAAAGACTTCACCGTCACCACTGACTAAACCTTCAACTTGTAATTAAATCTTGTAATTAAAATCTACAAGTTGTGAAGTTGAGTTAGAATAGTTTGC